TCTACCTCCAGTAGTGTAATATTTCACAAGGTAAATAGCCAGGCTCCTGATAACTTCAGTGGATTAAAAGAGAGGAGGAGTCAAACCAAAATACCAGTTATTTGAGAAAAGCAAAGATAGAGAGGCTGATGGAGATTCACCCTCTCCAATTATTAAAAGAAAGGAAGGGTTGTAGGTTTAAGGGGATTCCAGTACTTTAGCCATTCTTCATAAATAGAAATAAACATTTATGGTTATGAAAATTTATTGATATAAGTAATGAAAAACAGTGAAGGGACTTCCCTGGTGGCGCAGTGGTTAAGAATCCGCCTGCCGATGCAGGGGACATAGGTTCGAGCCCTGGTCTGGGAAGGTCCCACATGCCACGGAGCAACTAAGCCCATGCGCCACAACTACTGAGCCTGCATTCTAGAGCCCGCGCGCCTAGGGCCCGTGCTCTGCAACAAGAGAAGCCACTGCAATGAGAAGCCCGCGCACCGCAACAAAGAGTAGCCCCCGCCCACCACAACTAGAGAAAGCCCACATGCAGCAAGACCCAAAGCAGCCCAAAAAATAATTAAAAATAAATAAATAAATAATCCCAAAAAACCCCAAAACCGTGAAGACTGTGCTTTTCCTGAGCTTACAGAGCTTCAAGTCCTCAGTGGAACCCATAAGAAATAATTATGCTCAAGCAAAACATACAAGGACAGAGTTTAGTGCTGACATTTTACACCTGTCATCGTGTCTGGCGTGTCTTAGGTGCATAATAAATGGTAAATGGATGACTGCTTTTTTAGTGAAAAGTTAACGACTCATTCTCTGTCACTGCCATGAGGTTTGGTGAGTTTCCACATTCCTGGAAGTATTGTCATGAATTGGAACTGCTTGAAATGACGTATACATTTATTTGTCTCATTGGACTTGATATCCTTAACGAGTGCTTTAGTGCAAAAAGTTAAAGGCACATCCTTCGTGTTGGGAGTTTTGACATCTAGCATCCTTACTGATAAAATTTAAAAGTCTTATTTGGCTGTGGAACGGATCAACCCACTTAGAAATGGAGCATCTGCCAGAGTAACAAAAAGTTGTTTGACAATAAACCAATGGATTTACATTTTTTGTCAGTAGGGATCTTTTATTCTTATCTTGTTTTTATTTACTTAAACCCAAAGCTGCTATTACTTACTCCTAATATAATACCATGGTCATAGGAATATAAACTGGGTTCCTAACAATATATATATTTGCTCTCACTATAAATAATCTTCATTTTCATAAGTTTGAGAAAACTAGAAGTTGTCAGACTGTTGCTAGATGCTTGAAATATAATAATATATATGAATGTTATATTTTTATTATATATTATATAGATATAGATGTGTGTATAACATTACATATATAATATTACATATTATACTATAAATTTTCTATTATATAAGTTTAAAACTCTATCTATCTAATCAATCTTTCATCTTTCAAAAGAGGCCACCATTGGAAAGACCATAACCAGGCCAAATGATTAACTTTATAATTTTACTATGTTCTAATAACACTTATTTGGAGAAAGTTAATGGCTAAGCCGTGACATTTTTTCATACACTTTTTCATGAGAAGAAAATAGTCTGACCTACAGAAGGGCAAACTGACTTTCTTAAACCTTTCAGCTTTCTGAGACTGAGGAGTTTTCCTAAAAAGAAGGTCCCCAACTTTCAGGGAATCAGCAGTGAGGCATGACCTTTTCTAATTCATCTGCTCACTGCTAGCCCTCTGTTCCACCGTGGCTCCACTGTCCTGTCAGGGTCTAATGAAGCATGTGACGCCAAAAACAGTTATTCCTGAGATGCCAGCAGAAATGGTCATTTCTTTTACTTCCAAATGTGCCAAGTGGGGACAAGAAATCCTTACTTGATTGTTGGGAAAAGAAATTAAAAGCTAACTCCAGATTTTAACATTAAAGAATTGAGGTTGTTTGATCTTTAGAGGATACAGCAATTACATACGAAAATCTCTTTCATGTAAGGTTTTTTTAAAAAGTCGACTGCATGCCTTCATCTTTTGTGTCATAGATTACAGGGATAGAACTAAATAATATCATTTTTAGGACCAGAACTTTTCCCCCATTTCCCAATACATTTTTCTCTCCTTGCCATAAAAAGCTTGAAAAACAAACTCCCTGAGGCACCAGAAGCAGGAGTAAGTGGGGTGGTTTGGCTGCGGACCAGAGTAGCACAACGGGTTTCTGCTTCCTTTCTGTTCATGCTCCCCGCTTCCCTCCAAAACACACACAAAGCTCTGCATGACTTTCTGGTTTCAGGCTCCCGTTTTGCAATTTTTTCCATCATGTGTTGGGAAGAAATTGAAATGTAAAATTATATCCCCTGAAACAATCATATTGTTTGGGGGGCATAGGAAGGAGAGTTACAGAGATGAGTTTTTTTCTTCTTAAAAAAAAAAAGGCTACTATGAGCCACAATACCCATCCCTTGCTGCTCTGTGAACCTCTCAGGTGTTTTTTTTTTTATAACTCTTATTTAATTTTGCAAAAAAGTAGCTTAACCACTGAGAAAATTGTGCAGAGGAAAGAAAATTTCCTGATGAGGGATTATGCTCAGCAGAGATGCAATAATATACTGTTGTCACTTGTTTCTATGTGCTATTTTCTTTCCTCTGGGCATACCCCCATTTCACACACACATCCTTTAAGTCATTGGGCTGAGAGTTTGGCAGACCCAGAAGTGGAAAAGGATGATTTCAGCTCTAGTCATAGCAGGTAGTGGAGTTCGCAAAGAAGGCTTCAATATTGCTTCAAGGAAGTTGAAAATGACTAATGCGATGACTAACAGTAACATCTAAAACAAAAGTATAATTCTGCACTACAGTAAGAATGAGTGACCTTCTTGGCTTGGAAGAGGGAGGCGAGAGGGTGGAGGAATCTTTGGGAGGAAGATTTCAGAACAAATGGACCTATAATGTTAGTATTTAAATGCAATTTACTCATTCGCTTCAGCAGATAGTCTTAATATGCATGTCACCTGTGGACAGAGCCTGAAGAATTATAAGCATTAATTTGTTTTAAATAATTTGAAAAAGAAAAGTTTTATTAAATACTACAGTCATGTAAGTAAAAATTTAAAATAAATCTCTTTATGTTTCAGAAAATTTCTGCCTACAGGTCTTTTTTAATAGTTAGATTTTAAAATTATAAATAATGTGTGCTTAAAAAAATCACGCTGCAGTGGTTGCCTCAAAATCAACTACACTTCCTGAAATGCTGAAACCAAGGAAACTAGGGTCTTTAAGTCCGGGTGTGCTCCCTACTTGCCCAGACCCACCCGAGTGCCTGCACCATGACATGGCTTTGCAAATCAGGCATCCGATGAGCTAGGTGAGGATGTGAAATAAACCCCTGATGGGCTCACATCTTTCCGTGGTTCTCTCTAGTGTTTCAATGAGGTGAAATAGGCTTCTTATGTTTTGGATTTATCCCTGTTTTGCTTTGTTTCCCTGGAAACTTACTTCTTGAAATGGTGTTGCCTCTAGTAATGATCAGACTTAATACTTAAGGACTACTAGTTTAGTGCAGGGATTCTCATTGGAGATTCAGGGGTGAGAATCCCTAATAATGGGTGAAAAATTGTGTATATTATGTGCATTTTATGGGAATAAGGCCCGTAACTTTTATCTCAAGATTTGTGAATTACGAAGCATAGTATTTGATCCTGATAATAACTCTGAGGCAAAGATAAATGATCAGTACTACTTTATACCTGACTTCACTGAGGCTCGTGGAAGTTTCGTCACAAGTTTGAAATCCAGTAATCTTTCCCTGTAGCCTTTCAAGGCTATTACTTTCATTGGCTTTAAAACAAGATGGTCCTAATATATGTACGTACTCCCCTCTCCAGGAAGTGGAGATTAATCTCTCTCTCCACCCAAGTTTGGTCTAGACTTAGTGACTTGATCTTAAAGAATAGATTAGAGAAAGGGACAAATAGTAACTTTACAGTGCAGAAACCTGGCTAATACTACATTAACCAAGTGAGGAAAGTTAATATCACCAGTGATGTCAAGGCCCTTCCTAAGATGACATGACTTGAGAAGGGCACTTCACTTCTGTGATATTCTTCCTCAAACCACTAACCCCAGTCTAATCATGAGAGAAACATCAGAAAAATCCAGATTAGAGGACTGTTTACAGGATACCAGGTCAGTACTCCCTAAGACTGTCAAGGTCACGAAAAAGAAAGACTGAGAAATTGTCACAGGCCAGAAGAAACTGGGGAGACATGACAACTAAATGCAGTGTGGTATCCTGGATTGGATCCTGGAACAGAAAACATTAATGGAAAACTGGCGAAACTGAAGTCTAGAGTTGAGTTCATAGCAATGCACCAATGCAATGTTGGTTTCTGGGTTTTGATAAATATATCATGGAGATGTAAGATGTTAGCAGAGGGGTAAATTGGGTGAGGGATATAAGAGAACTCTCTTTATTATCTGTATTATCTAAAATTATTCCAAAATAAAAAGTTAATTTAAAAAATTGCTTGAATCTAGAAAGATGACCACAAACTCAACTCACATATTTTTCCTGGATTAACCAGAATAAATGTCACCTTCCCTGGAAATCCTTCTGTATGACCTTACGTACTAATCTAACAGAATTTATGGTACCCTCCTGGGAGTTAGGAGAGGCATTATTGCCTAGTGGTTATGAGTTTGGACTCCTGGGGTCAGGCTGCTGGGGTCTGAAGCCAGCTCTACCACTTATCAGCTATGTGACTGCCAGCACATGACTTGATCTTTCCCTGGATTAACCTACCTCATAGGGCTGTTGTGGGCATGTAATTTAAAGTTACACATTTGAAGTCCTTAGAATAGAGCCTGGTACATAATTAGTACTCAGTAAGCGGTAGTGGTGATGATGATGATGGTGATGATAATGATGATAGTTCCAAAGCATTGTTTCTATAACACTGTCTCACAGTATCTAATTGCTTACCCCTGCTTTTTCTTTTAGATGGTGAGATCCTTGAGGACAGAAGCCATGTTTTATTTATCTTTGTATCCTTCTGCCTGATAAATAGTAAGTACTCAATAATTGTTGATTGAATTACACTTCATTTCTTGGATCCTCACTTGCCGTATCTGGGATTTGGGTGTGACCCTTCTGTCACTACTGCCGAATTCCAGGCTTACTGGGAGATAACTACCAATTAATTAACACTCCTTAGGGCTTTTTTAGGTGCAGTGAGGGATGCAAAGACATAGATATGAGGTCTCTACCCCTCAGAAACTTACCAGCATATATGCTCCAATAACTATATTTTAATTTATCGGAAAATGATAGAACTCTAGATTAAACAGTACTGAGGACAAGTGCTTAAATTCTAAGAAAGAATAGATTGTAGCAAAATGGGATAATGTAAGAGAATACAGGATAATCTTTTTTTAAAGAATTAATTTATTTATTTTTGGCTGCATTGGGTCTTCGTTGCTGTGTGCGGGCTTTCTCTAGTTCTGGAGAGCAGGGGCTACTCTTCCTTGCAGCGCGCGGCCTTCTCATTGCGGTGGCTTCTCTTGTTGCGGAGCACGGACTCTAGAGCACAGGCTCAGTAGTCGTGGCGCATGGGCTTAGCTGCTCCGCGGCATGTGGGATCTTCCCGGACCAGGGCTCGAACCCGTGTCCCCTGCATTGGCAGGCGGATTCTTAACCACTGTGCCACCAGGGAAGCCCAGAATAATCTACTTTTATGGAACATTCAACATGCCTCCCTCCCCTGTAGAGCATGAGAGAAAATGAGCTAAAAATTTAAAAGAGAAAACCAAAGTTTGTTAGACATTCTAGAGGTGCAGAGTTCTTGTTTGAGATTTAATGTGGTGTTATTCCATTATTGAGAGGGAACTTAAGTAATTTAAAACTTTTACTAACTTGTACAGGACTTATTATTTTTTAAGACAAAGTGTTGAGATATGAGTTGTAGTGGTACTGATGACAATGAATGGACTGAGCTTGGTTAAAAAATGAATTTGTTACTATAAAATGTACTTGAAAAGTAGCAACAAAAAAGTGGGGGGAGGATGAACTTCTTTGGGACTTCTGTTCTCTTTTACCAGTGCCACGTTGCATCCTTTGGTTTCCCCTTAACCGGTATCCATAGGGAAAACTTTTTAATCGGTATATGTTAATTAACTTTAACAAATCTTTTTCCAAATTCTTCTCTCAGTAGCCAGAGAGTGCATTATGAGTAGGGAGGGTGTTCAAAATGACTGAAGCTACCTGGCCAGAGGACCCTGCCATATGTTTGAAAACTTAACCTTGCCCTGGTTTTCATTCCAGGGCAACCAAAAGCCAAGCTCACATCCTGGCCATATATTTGGAAGTCCACATCCTACCCACATAATTTAGGACCTGAATTATAATGTTACATCTTACAGCCCTTAGATAAAAGGGATGTAAATGTAACTCTTATAAGCACTGTTCCTATTCCGTCCAAGGCCATGAATTACCATATGGTCTGGAAGAGATCATCTTAATTTTGGGGACCAAGCTACTGGGCTGTAGTTGATATGGCTAATTCTTGAACCCTGCTTTTCAGATTGAATTGCCCAGGGTTGGAACTGACTAGATTTGGCTCATGGAATTCCAGATGCTATGGTAATTATAGTGCAAGACTAAATTTTCTGTTCTCATTTGTCTTTTTAAACTACTTTGATTCCTCATTTGGTCTCTTTCACCCAGTATTTAGGGGTTATAACTTCTATGAGTAAAATTTAGTTTTAAATGGAAGAAAATTTAGCTCCTGCTACTATGGTACTAGTTAATCATAAGTTCATAAAAAAGCTAACATACTGGGTCAGAGAGGCAGCATTAAAATTTGATGCGTTTGGGGAAAATAAATTAAAAAGGTCTGGTAGAAAGCTTGCACTCTAGAGCTTTTTCTCTGCCGTCTGTCATCTGAGGCATAAACCTGTGCCCTCATGTGTATCCAATTGCAATGTATCTCTTCTATCTAAAGTCAGATAATTACAAGGTTCCATAGTCCCTTGGCAGACTGAATAAAGAGTTACTTTCATTTCTTTTCTTAGGCTCTAGACGTATACTGTGTTCTCTAGAGATACTGTACACAATTCTGTAGTAAGGCTGTTTATCAGCATTTACGAATTAATATCCGTTTAGCTAATGGTAAACCAAGATTGACTCAAGAGCACATAGCATGTGGTTATCTTTAGGATGTGGGATGACTATGTTGATTTTGTTTATCACCATCTTCATTAAGAAGTATCATGTACAAACTGAGTAGTAGAAAAGCATCAGATGCTCCTGGCCCAATATACGGGACATGTATTCATCTGAACAACTAGTCAGTGAGCAAAAGAGAAATATGTTGTAGAGCAGTGATAAATGTAATGGCAAGTAGAGAAAATTGCTTCTTCAGCTGAGGGACATTTTCTATCACTGTTCTAATTAATCAGGAAATACATTAGGAAAAGTTTTAGGTTTCACAAGGGAAGAAGAAGGCTTTATGAGCAAGGTTTTGTTCTCTTTTTAATTAGAGATAGGAAGGAAAATATTGTTTAGCAAGTTTCTGTGGTGGAGGTTTGGAAGTTGAGGGCCAGGTTATTTCACAAAAACTGTGAGGTTCAACTTGGAGGTGAAAGAATACATTTTTAAGATGTGACAAAGAACAATATCTCAGCTGCCTTTTGGCTTTTCTATATGTAATTCGAGAACAGTTTTTAAAAATAAAGAAATTGTAATAATTTTTTTCATTTAAATAATTTATTAAATTATTCAAAATAATATTATGGCAAGCACTAAATATATTCATGTGACATGAGAAAAAGAGGAGTTGCAAAGCAGTCTATGAATGTTCAATGAATACTAATTTATGATGGTAAATATAAAAATAATTTAAGGGCCAGTAAATGGAAGGGATGACAAAAGATTAATTCCCATTGTTCTTTTCAGAAGAGAAGAATATGGAATGATGGGGTTGCTGACTTCAAGTCTGGAGATCAGTCAGGTGAGTATTGGTGAAGGGTACATTTTTAGTTCTGCTCAAGAAGGAGCAAGACGAAATACACTTGCTGTGTAGACTAGAAAAATTTCAAAGTTTTAAAGAAAGATTTGGCACCCAAATACACCTATTTTAAGTGTTCATTTTTGATGAGTCTTGACAAATATATACACCCATATATCCACCACCACAGTCAAGATTTAGAACATTTCCATGACCCAAAAATGTTTCCTTGAGCTTTTTCCCAGTCAATTCCTTATCTATGCCCACAAACAACTGCATATCTGCTTTCTATCAGCATAGATTAGATTTGCCTTTAAAACAAAAGCGTTTCAGATAAATGAAACCATACAGTATGTACTCTTTTGTATTGGGATTCTTTTGCAGAGCATAAAGGTTTTTAGATTTATCTGTGTTGTTGCGTATATCCGTAATTTATTCCTTTTTATTGCTGAGTAGTATTCCTCTGCATAGGCATTCCACAATTTATCTATCCATTCACCTGTTGAAGAACATTTGGATTCTATATTAGTATGATTAAATCTCCATCATTTAGTAGGCCTATGTCTCTGGGCTGTGACTGTTGTTTTTCTCCAGTGGTATAGCTTTTATAAAAAATTTGTCTTAGGTGAGACAGCAATGCTATATAAGTGGCTGGAGTGGGAGAAATTCCCTTCCTCTAATTGTGATAAAGCTCTGGAAAAGTCTTTTCCTCTGGATAGCAGGCCTTCATTATGGAGAAGGCATGTTTCATAGTGATTACTCTTCCCTTTCCCTTGCCAGGGCCATGAGTGTATCTATCTTGAATCTTCACTATGAGAACCTGGTCAGTTTCCTGGAGGTAAAGCCTATGAGGGTGTGGGGTCCCCCAAAAAGTGGCCCTCAGAAATTTCTTACTCTCACACTAGTCCATGCTTAGTCTCCAGCAATTTGTCAACCCTACCATTAAGTGTTCCTACCAGTTTATGGCTCCCATGGCTTCTGCTCCAAGTAAGCAGATCTTGGCTATGCCTCTCTGAATGCATCTATCTCCAGATTTCAAGGTGGTGGTTTGCCCTGTGACCTCAATTCTCTGATGGCTCCAAGGAAAGTCTTGATTTTCAATTTGTCCAGCATATTCTTGTTGTAAGGACAGGTGTGACATCTTTTAAGTTCTTTTTTTTAAAATTAATTAATTAATTTTTATTTTTGGCTGTGTTGGGTCTTTGTTGCTGCGTGCGGGCTTTCTCTAGTTGCGGCGAGCAGGGGCTACTCTTCCTTGCGGCACGTGGGCTTCTCATCGCGGTGGCTTCTCTTGTTGCAGAGCACGGGCTCTAGGCGCACGGGCTTCAGTAGTTGCAGCACGTGGGCTTGGTCGTTGTGGCTCACAGGCTCTAGAGCACAGGCTCAGTAGTTGTGGCGCACAGGCTTAGTTGTTCCGCAGCATGTGGGATCTTCCTGGACCAGGGCTCAAACCCATGTTCCCTGCACTGGCAGATGGATTCTTAACCACTGCGCCACCAGGGAAGCCCTAAGTTCTTTACATGTTGGAACTGAAACCAGAAGTGTCCCTCACTTTCATTTTTGAAAGACATTTTCACTGGGTATACAGTTCTAAGTTGACATTTTATTTCCATTGTCTTTAGGCGTTAATGGTTTCTAACAGGAACTCTACAGTGTTTCTTAGTCTTGTTCCTCTGTATGTAAAACACCTTTTCCCCATCTTCCTCTGGCTGCATTTAATATTTTCTCTTTTTAATAATTTGATTATAATATGCCTCTCTGTGGTTTTCCTTCTGTTTATCCTCCTTGGGATTTGTTGATATTCTTGGTACTGGGGGTTTATAGTTTGTGTAATTAGGAAATTTTTCAGCCATTATTTCTTCAAATAATTTTTCTATTCCTCCTTCTATCTCCTGTCTTTCTGTGACTCCAGTTAGCACATTAGACCGCTTAATATTGTTCCATAGGTCATTGAGTTTCTTTTCATTTTTCTCCAGATTTTTTTCTGCTTGTGCTTCAGTTTGGTTAGTTTTTATTGTTATGTCTTCAAGTTTGCTAATCTTTTTTTGTGCAGTATCTAATCCAATGTTAATCTAAGTCAATGAATTTCATATTTCACATATTTCATTTCTAAAACTTTCATTTGACTTTTATTTATATTTTCTGTTCTCTCCTCATTATGTTCATGTTTTTCTTAAAAAATTTGAGCGCGCAGGGGCTTCCCTGGTGGCATAGTGGTTAAGAATCCGCCTGTCAATGCAGGGGACACGGGTTCGAGCCCTGGTCCAGGAAGATCCCACGTGCCGCAGAGCAGCTAAGCCCGTGCGCCACTACACTGAGCCTGTGCTCTAGAGCCCGCGAGCCACAACTACTGAGCCCGTGCGCCTAGAGCCCGTGCTCCGCAACAGGAGAAGCCACCGCAATGAGAAGCCCACGCACTGCCACGAAGAATAGTCCCCGCGCGTCGCAACTAGAGAAAGCCCACGTGCAGCAATGAAGACCCAATGCAGCCAAAAAATAAATTAAATAAATAAATTTATAACAAAAAAATAAAAAAATAAATTTGAGCGTGTTGATTACATTTTCCATTATGATTTTAATATAATTGTTAATTCTATCATCTCTGTCATATCTTGGTCTCTTTTTATTAACTGATTTATTTTCATGGTTATATGTCAAATTTTCCTGCTTCACAGGGCTAGTAGTTTTTTATTGGCTGCTGGACAGTGTGAAGTTTATGTTGTTAAGTGTTGGATTTAGTTGTATTCCTTTAGACAGTGTTGGGCTTTGTTCTACAGTTAGCTCACTTGTGGGTCAGTTTTATCATTCCAGAGCTTGTTTTTAGCTTTTAAAAGGGCAGATCTAGATGCTGATTTAGCCTCACTTTTAAGGAATGACCTTTCTGATGTCTCTACTGAGTGATCCTTTTATTCTCTGAACTCTGTTTTCTTTGGCTGGTGGAAAGACCAGTGATTCCTAGCTCCATGTGAGTTCTGGGAATTTTTGTCTCACCAGTCTCTGATAATTCCTTGTGACCTGAAGGATGAATTCAGTGGAGAGGAAAGAGAGTGAGAGTGAGAGTGAGAGTGAGAGAGAGAGAGAGAGAGAGAGAGAGAGGGAGAGAGGTCGTCTACTAAATAGAATAGGAACTATGATATGAAAGTAGTTTGTAGTTACCTGAGTTGAGAACTGTTCTGTCTCCCTTTTGGCTCTAAGAAGGCTCTTGTAAATATAGGTATGAGTCTTACCTCCTCACTTTACACTTTCTCTTTTTTTAAAAAAAAATATTTATTTATTTAATTTTTGGCTGCATCGGGCCTTAGTTGTGGCACACAGGATCTTCGCTGCAGCATGTAGGATCTTTCGTCGTGGCGCAGGGGCTCTTCTTTGTGGCATGCAGGCTCTTTGTTGCAGCGTGCGGGCTTTTCTCTAGTTGTGGCACGTGGGCTCCAGAGCACGTGGGCTCTGTAGTTGCGGCACACAGGGTTTCTAGTTGTGGTTCTTGTGCTCAGTAGTTGTGGCGCATGGGCTTAGTTGCCGAACAGCATGTGGGATCTTAGTTCCCTGACCCTGGATCAAACCCACGTCCTCTGCATGGGAAGGCGGATTCTTAACCACTGGACCACCAGGGAAGTCCCTACACTTTTTCTTAATTGTGAGTATGAACCTGGAGCTACCTTTAGTCATGACAGCTGAATCTGTACCTAGCTTTTGTCTTCTGAAGCTTACCCTGATATAGCCAGTAAACCAGGAAATTAAACATACAGTTGTTTCAATCTAAGGAGGCTCAAACAGAAGATTCTTAGATTCTTGGTCTCCTCCTCTACTGTAGAGAGAGGTGGCAGTGTTGCTGATTGGAAAAACCACTAAACTAGGTAGAGGCCTCCAGGTGTCAGGCTTCTAGAACTGGCTTTCCTATTCTTTGTGGGACTGAAAACTCACTTGATCCCTCCCTCCAGTGCTCTTTAGGTTAGATGGTCTTCAGTCCCTTTCATCTCAGATAGCCTACAATTCTAATATAGGACAGAGGTCAGATGTCTGGTAGCTTCAGTGACCCCAAATTAGAAGGCAGTAAAAAAATATTCTGGGAATTATGAATCAGGAACAAGACCAAATTCCTCTTTTCTTTAGCAGCCAATGAGCTCAAGTACAAATTGGTTTCTCTGTGCTATAAACTGTAGTGTAGTTTCCCATGAGTGTCATATATGCATCCTGAATTGCTCCCTGGAGTTTGTCCATCAATTCTAAGTTATATTTTACCTGGTCTCATTACTGTGTTTCTGTATTTCTCAATTTTATTTTTTGTCTTACTTTGTTGTACGGATTCTTGTAGGTTACATCAAAATCTTTGTAGAGTGTGGTTCTGGTGGTGAGAATTTTAAAATCCTTAAATGAGGAAACAAATAAATAATGAAAACAGATGCAAAAATATCACAATAAACATCTAACACTTATTCAGATATTTATGTATTTAAATATGCAATTCTTCACAAGTTTCTGTCTCTAAAGACAGCAAATGAAAAGTCTAAACTGGAAGATGAATGGAAGGATGCTAGAGACAGGAAAACATGGCAGCAGCAAGAGGTGATCATTTATTTTTCATATCAGAGGGAGAAGAGAGATCCAAAAGGAGATAGAAGACTGCCTTGTGTTTTATAGCACCTCACCTAAGCTGATATTCAGAATGAAGACATCTCATCATGAAGACTAGATTAAATAGTTTTCACTAATGTTTTGCTTGAGAAGGCAGGGAAAAAGTACGTTTTTTGTTTGGGATTGAAATAGCCAGAAAGCTTTAATTACTTTTACTGTGCTATGAGTTCACTTCTCACCAAAATCATGGAAAATATGTTCTTTTGATTTGCTTCGCAGAAGCATTTCTAATGCAATTGGAAGGGTATGATAACAGAAATGCCTTCAGTGATCCACTGCTTTCAGGGTTCTACAAAGAATGTATTCTGACTTCACAGGCCCTGGAGGAAGGATTTTTCATACCAGCCTTCTTGATATTTGAGGTCTGATCT